AAGTCTGTGTGCGCCTCTGTATGTGTAGGTGTGTGTGTGTAGGTGTATGTGTGGGTGTAGGTGGGTGCAGATGTGTGTGTAGGGGTGTGTGTGGGTGTAGGTGTATGTGTGTGCAGGTGTAAGTGTGTGTTGGTGTATGTGTATGTGTGTATGTGGGTGTATATGTGTGTGTGGGTGCACATGTGTGTGTGCATGTGTGTGTATGTGTGTGTGTGCGCGGCCTTTCTGTACACGAAACGATTCCTGCATTTGCTCGGGCAAATCCGCAGGCCCCACAGCTGACCGCGATCCCAAAGCGGAGGGTTTTGGGACGTTTAAAGGCACGATTTCAAATAAATAAGAATTATTTATTGCCGCGCTGACTGAAGCAGCCTCCATCCTGCCGAACGCTTTTCAAAAGACAGTAGCTTCTATTTTGCTGCAGAAATGAGTCTGTGTCTGTGTGGAAAGTAGGGAGACATTCCAGGAATTCTTGAGTTAGAAAGGTTTTAGTTAGGGCCACATTCAGACTGTAATTACTATGGTGATTAACCCCAACACTTCCCCAATTTTCTCATAGATTTCCATAACCTTCGGTCACTCTCGATGGAAAAACAAATCAATGGAATTCAATGCGAAGCCCAACTTGGACCCCAGTCTGCGTCACCAACCCACAGACACGGACTGAGTTTCTTCCCCAACATTGCAGCCCTCCCCCCCTCCCTCCCACCGTAATTGGGCCTTTTCCCCCTTCACCTTGTTTGAAACCTGTTTCGCCCACAAGAAAACGGACAGTCACTACACTTTTCCCGCGGAGTCCGGCAGCTCAGTGTGTTAGAGCGATCACCTTTGGAAGTGGGAGGAACTTGGGTCCGATTCCCGGGGGGTTAACTGGGCAAAAGGTTGGGATTTTAAACCCTCCACAGAAAAGCCATCCGCCAATCGACTAACAACCGCGTTCCTACTGACCAGAGGTAACCAGAGGTGTGTGTGTGTGTGTGTGGGGGGGCTGTTGGGGGAGTAAGGAAACTTGCCCAACATTTCGCCCCGACTTGACCCGCCCGGGAATCGAACCCGGGTCCTCTCGCTCGCGAGGCGAGGGCTCGAACCCCTGAGCTCCGGGAACTCTACAGGATGTGGGACAGGACAGGACAGAACCTGCAGCAGTAACGTTTGGTAGACATTTGTTTGTACTGAGAGGAACCGCGGAACCCACTGGTGTGTCCCCAAAGCTTGTGAGACGGGATCATTTCTTGGGGGTGAAAGGACGCAGCAGGAATGGAGGCTCACCTGAAAGTCCAGCGTACAGAGACACACACCCCCACACACACCCCCACCCCCACACACACCCCCACACACACCCCCACCCCCACACACACCCCCCCACACACCCCCACCCCCACACACACCCCCCACACACCCCCCCCCCTCCCCCACACCCCCACCCGCACCCCCACCCCCACACACACCCCCCCACACACACACAGCCCCACACACACACACACCCCCACACACACCCCCACACACACCCCCACCCCCACACACCCCCCACACACACCCCCACCCCCACCCCCACACACACCCCCCCACACACACACATTCCCGGACATGTGAACGCTGTCTGTCTGTGTTTCGCAGGTCAGAATGTGCTGCCATTTCCATTTTCTGCTTCGAATAACTTGTCGAGCCTTTTCTCTCCCGCACCCCCCCACCCCAACCCCTAACCTCCGCGCCCCCCCCCCCCCCTGTGATATTACCACACAGCTGCAATTGACAGCCAGCAATCAATTAGTACAAAAGGCCTTTTAGTCGCACAGCCATCCCATTCCCCGCGGCACAAAGCAACCATTAATTCTATTGTTGGAATCATTTCTTTATGAGCATTAAAAAGGATTTAAGATAGTTAGCGCACTGCGCCCCTCTGGAGCAACAGAACCAAACTCCTCGCAAATTAACATTCGGGCATTTTGTTGACCCAATACAATCGTTTTTAACCCTAAAAAGAAAGTCATCTTTTCTCAAAAGAGTGCCTTATCTCGCTCCTTGCCCGGGTCGGTTTCGTAGAGTCGTAGAGAGAGGGTTTTGTTTTTTTTGCCGAAGTCGTCAGGACTTTTATTTCGGGCGGAAAAAGAAAAGGGGGATTTAGCTCAGTCTCAACCAGTGGTTCAAGATGGGAGTATGAACGACTAACTCGCTCGGGATCTGAGGGCGTAAAGTTTACATTGCGTTGAGACAAAGTGCACAGATTTTACAGATTAAAAAATAAAGTGGATCGAGGAGATGTGACAGCCACAGCCTGTGCTCTTTATTTAAAGGAAAAGACCTTATCATTTGTGTCTGACCCCCACCCCCCCGCACATGGGTCTTGGTGTTCGATTACAGCCAGACGTGGGGAGTAAGTATTATTCGAGTTTAAATATCTAACGCAACTTTGCATTCAACTCCCAACGACTTTATAGAGTTCCTGTCCTAAACTCTGCTCCCTCCTGAAACAAAAGGGTTTGCTGACTCATATCCTCCATCCCCAGCCTTCTCTCTCTCTTTCTCTCTCTTTCTCTCTCTTTTCTAAAGAGCCTCTGATTTATCCCGGTCCCTGGGAAACTTGTTCCTATGGTGCAGGCACAATACCAGGTCTCCGCAGCTTGACAGAACCTTCAGTGTTTGGGACTGGCAAAGCCCGGATAACCCATATTAATTTTCGGCGTTATAATTAACAGTGATTGGCTTGAATGGGGAGGTGGGGGGGGGGGGGAGAGGGGGTGGAAGGGGGGAGAGAGAGAGAGAGAGAGAGAGAGATGGGGGTGGGGGGAGGGAGGAGGGAGCCCGCTCCTGATTTCACTTGTGATGAAAGATTTATCCATGTTTTTATTCCCCGCGTTCCACACACCAGGTCATTTTTCGTCTGGTTGCTGTTCCCCCCCCCCCCCCCCGCCCCCCACTGGTGAGGGAAGGGGGAAGGGGATTTGGGAAGGAGGAGAGGGAGGGGGAGAGGAGAGGGTGTGTGTGTGTGTGGGGGGGGGGGGCTGGGGGGAGGGGGGGGCGGGTTAACCTAACCTAAACCTCTCGCTCAGATTATTCAACTGGAAAATGTCCTTTGTCACCTTTCAGTGGCTTTTATATGTGTTTAGGTTTCCGCTCCGGCTCCCACGTCAATGTTCACACAAGGAAACCCGGGAGCTGCTGAGGGGGGAGTTATACGACTATTACTACTACTAATAATAATGATCCTCGCATTTGACACAGCGCCTCATCACGTCTTCGAGACTTCTCAAAGTGCTTCATCGGATACGCTGTAAAGTGCAGTGACTGTGTATTTTGTGGGCGAAACGCGGCAGCCAATTGCACACAGCAGTGTTCCCCCACAAACAGCCATGGGTTGAAGTGACCAAATTATTATCATAATTATCTTTTTGAAGGGACTATTACCCCCGGAAAAGCGATCGGCCAATCGACTAACAACCGGTTTCCTACTGACTGCGGATAAACAGAGGCGCGTGTGTGTGTGTGGGGGGGGTTGTGGGGGGTGGGGGGGAGTAAGGAAACTTGCCCAACATTTTGCCCTGACCCCTCCGGGAATCAAACCCGGGTCCTTCTGCTTACGAGGCGAGAGCTGTAACCACATTACTACACATTACTTTGGTAAGTTGAGTTGAAGAGGAATGGATCAGTGGCTTCCCCTGACATGTACACATGTGGAAGATGAATTTCGGTGCTGTTCTGAGGTGGACAGTGTTGTCTTAAACCTGTGGCCTCTGGTTACCGACCCCTCCGCCCACCAGAGGAAACAGTTTCTCCCGTCTACTCTATCAAAATCCCTCCGAATTTTGAACCCCTCCATTTAAATCTCCCCTCAACCTTCTCTGTTCGAAGGAGAACAATCCCGGCTTCTCTCGTCTCTCCACGTAACTGAAGTCCCTCAATCCCTGGTACCATCCTGGTAAATATTTAGTTCACAGGAGAAATCTCCAGGACAGGGAGTGTTACCTACTCTCCCCCCCCACACACACACACACGCACCTCTGTTTACCAGCAGTCAGTAGGAACCAGGTTGTTAGTCGATTGGCGGATCGCTTTCCAGGGGTAATAATCCCTTAAAAAAAATTATAATAATGTGGTTACTCAACCCACGGCTGTTTGTGCAGACGCTGCTGTGCGCAATTGGCTGCCGTTTTTCGCTCACAAAATGCACAGTCAGTGTCTTTACAGTGTCTTTACAGCGTATATCCTGTGAAGCGCTTTGAGACGTCTCGAAGACGTGATCAGCCGCTGTATCAAACAATAATAATAATAATAAGCCTCGCATTTGATACGGCGCCTGATCGCCTGTTCGAGACGTCTCAAAGCGCTTCGCGGGACACACTGTAAAGGGAAATGACTGTATAAGTTGTGGGCGAAGCGCGGCAGCCGATTGCGCACAGCAGCGTCCCCACAAACAGCCGTGGGTTGAGTGACCAAATTATTTTATTTTTGAAGGCATTATTACCGGTAGTTTTTGATGAAGACATTGGACGTTGGGGAGAGGGGACGGGACGGGACGGGGTGGGATGTGACAGTTCTATCGGTTTGCCTGCACATAACCCATTGGTAAATAAACCCTGTAATTGACACCTCCAGTCGAGTGCAATCAAACAACCACCAGCCTATTGGTTAGGCTACAAACCTCACAGCCTGTGTGTGCCGGCAGTTAGGGGGGTTGTTCTTCTGTAGGGAGGCAGAGCGAAGCCAGTGCTTAAGCTGCGTTAGTCCAGCAGCAACCTTTAAAAAGTAGGAGCCAGTGTGAGGACTGAAAGGTGTTCAGACAGACGGCCAGCGAGAGAGCGAGCGAGAGAGGGAGAGGCAGGAGAGGTAGGGAGGTTATCACTGTGGGGAGAATGAGAGAACGCACACACCTACTGGTACCTTCAAGGTGGATTCGTTTCTGAAGCAGAGGCAGAAGCTAAAAGATTCATCGCACTCTTCTTTCTTTGCAGTGACTCAAAGCGAGTGAGTGAGTTCCACTTCTCTCTCTCTATCTCTCTCTCTCTGTCTCTCTCTCTCTCGCTCTCGTTCTCTCTCTCTCTCTCTCTCTCTCCGGACGAAAAAACAAGTGCACCCCGGGGCAACTTTCTGATCGGAGCGGAGACTTCGACGGGCAGCAGAGAAGCGAAAGCTTAAGCGCAGAGGGCCGAGATGGGAGGGAAAGTGATCTCTGGGCAGATTTGCTGGAAGGTTGATGTTGCTGTCTTGCTGACGCTGAGCCTGTTCGCTTGTGGCCTGGCGATGGAGATGGAAGAGTCCAGTTGGCAGGCAGACAGTCGCTTTTACATCAAACCCCCTCACTGCGTGGACATCCCCTTCGACTTGCGGCTTTGCTACAACGTGGGCTACGGCAAGATGAGGTTGCCCAACCTGCTGGACCACGAGACCATGGACGAGGTCATGCAACAAGCCAGCAGCTGGGTGCCTTTGCTGAACAAGAATTGCCATCCCAACACCCAACTGTTCCTCTGCTCCCTCTACGCCCCCATCTGCCTGGATAGACCGATCTACCCGTGTCGCTCCCTGTGCACGGTGGTCAGAGACGCCTGCACACCTGTGATGGAGTTCTTTGGCTTCCCCTGGCCAGACATGCTGCGCTGCGACAAGTTCCCGCTGGACAATGACCTCTGCATTGCCTTCCCCAACCCCAACGCCACGGTTCCCGCAAACCCACAAGGTAACCTTCCGATTTCTCTCCTCCGTCTCCCGGTCTTGTGCTACACAGCGTAGCGCTTGCGTTCGATACGGTGCCCAACTCCTCCTCGCGGGATACGCTCGAGTGTAGCGACTGTGCGTTTTTGCGGGCGAAATGCGGCAGCCAATTGCGCACGGGATTCCCGTGGAGTCCTGCGTGGCCGGCGAGAGGACCCGGGTTCGATTCCCAGGCGGGTCAGGTCAGGGAGAAACATTGGGCAAGTTTCCTTAACCCACCCCCCCCCACCACACACACACACACACACACGCGTGCGCGCGCCTCTGGTTACCAGCAGTCAGTAGGAACCCGGTTGTTAGTCGATTGGCCGATCGCTTTTCCGGGGGTTATAAACCCTTCAAAAAATAATAATTTGGTCACTCAACCCACGGCTGTTTGTGGGGGGGACGCTTCCATCTCCATCTGCGCAATTGGCTGCCGCGTTTTGCCCACAAAACACACAGTCACTACACTTTACAGTGTATCCTGTGAAGCGCTTTGAGACGTCTCGAAGACGTGATGAGGTGCTGTGTCAAATGCAAGGATTATTATTATTATTATTATTATTATTGAGCTACCATAATTTTCGTGGCTTTAGTTGTTCCTAAGGAATCAATCTCAGGCGATGTTTTCTGTGCTCTGTCTAATTTCCTTCGGGAATTCTCTGCCTCTCTCTCTCTCCCCCTCTCTCTCTCTTTCTCTCTCTCTAGAGGGTGCAAGTGGGGGCGATTGACAGCGGAGACGGGGAGGGGAAAGGGGGGGGGAGTTGTTGGTGGTGGGAGGTGGGGGCGCGGTGGGTGGTAGTAGAAAAGCATATCTTTTGAGGGCTGTGAACGAAATCGATCGGTGCCGTTCAATCCCCGCGTTTGCCGCAGAGCCCGATCAGGTCTTCGAGACGTCTCGAAGCACTTGGCGGGAATGCACTGGAAAGGGTCGCGACCGTAGCGCTCGGCGGGCGAAACGCGGCGGCGGGGTCGCCCCCAGCGAGGTCCCCGCAAACAGCCGCGGGCGTGAAGTGACCGAATTAACACGATTATTATTATTATTATTGTCTTTGTGTGGGGGAGCGGACAGGAGAGAGGGGAGAGGGGAGGAGAAGAGAGAGGGGATTATGGTGGGAGGTTGGGCTCAAGTCTTTAGCTCTCTCTCTCTCTCTCTGTGTGTGTTTAACTTCCTCATTTCCTGTGCAGCGAATTCCCAGCAGAATCCCCTTACCTTTTCCCGCATTTCTTCCGATCGCTCGAGCTGCTTCTGATTAGACCTTTAATGCCTTCTCGGCAAAAAGCAATTTGAGATTCCGAGACCATTATTTTTATGAGACAATGACAAGGTACACAGCCCAGCGCGAGCTGTTAGGCATTAGTTCTGCTTAGCTTTTTTCCCCCCCCCCCCCCCCCCTCCTTCTTCTCTTCGCGACCCCCCGGTCTTTTTGAGGGGCGCAAACCCGCAGTCGGAATATTTCACACTTTTTTTCTTCGAGCCTCCCCCTCTCTCTCGCTTCAAAGCCTCTTAACTTTTTATTTGCCTTCTCAACAGAACGGTATGAAATAAAAATAATTTATCCCTCTTTCCCCCTTCTCTCCCATCGCCCCCCCCCCCCCCTCCACCCCCACCCAAACCCCCTCTGGGAAAGCAGTTAAATAGAAAAGAATCGATCTCAGGAAACAATTTTGAGGTATTGAGTGATGCAATCAAGTGGCTATAATAATAATGATGATGATAATAATAATAATAATCCCGGCATTTGACCCGGTGCCTCATCACGTCTTCGAGACGTCTCAAAGCGCTTCACAGGATACACCGTAAAGTGTAGCGACTGTGTATTTTGTGGGCAAAACGCGGCAGCCGATCGCGCACAGCAGCGTTCCCCGCAACAGCCGTGGGTTGAACTGACCAAATTATTATTTTTGAAGGGATTATTACCCCCGGAAAAGCGATCCCCCAATCGACTGACAACCGGTTAAAGTAAGGTCTTAAAGGTCCAGAGTAAAGCTGCAGTTACTCTCTCCATCCGCAAAGCAGATTTGGTTACTATTGTGCTCTTACTCCAAGTTAACTCCTGCGTATATGGAGCAAAGTGGGAGGTAATTGGAGTTGAGGTACAGATCAGCCGTGACCTTATAGATCGGCGGAACAGGCTCGAAGGGGCTGAATACCCTACGCGGAGTTCCCTGTAGCTCAGGGGTTAGAGCCCTCGCCTCGCGAGCGAGAGGACCCGGGTTTGATTCCCGGGCGGGTCAGGTCAGGGAGAGACGTTGGGCAAGTTTCCTTACTCCCCCCCCACCCCCCCACAGTCACACACACACCCACACACACACGCCTCTGTTTACCAGCAGTCAGTAGGAACCCGGTTGTTAGTCGATTGGGAGATCACTTTGCAGAGGAAATAATCCCTTCAAAATAAATAATAATAAAAATAATTTGGTCGTTCAACCCACGGCTGTTTGTGCGGACGCTGCTCTGCGCAATTGGCTGCCGGGTTTCGCTCACAAAACACACAGTCACTGCACTTTACGGTGTACCCCGTGAAGCGCTTCGAGAAGTCTCGAAGATGTGACGAGGCGCCGGGTCAAATGCGAGGGATTATTATGATGATTCTTCTTTCTGATCATGGAACCTATAGACCGAGACGTTATCCACTGTGGGCCCTGATGTTGAATTGTTTCTGTGCTTGCTCTGTTCCTCTGGCAGCTTCGGAAGTTTGTCCGCCCTGCGACAACGAAATGAACACAGACATCATCCTGGATCACCTGTGCGCCAGCGAGTTTGGTAAGTGAGCGCAGCAACAAAAAAAAAGCCACTTCTCCCGATTTCGTCTCCCCGTCAGGACATCTCCAGAGGGTGTCCGTGACCGTGTTATTGATCGACCTGGAATCCCCATCGCTGGACTGTTCTCTCGATTACATGTCCTCTGATTGTCATCTTACAGCCCACACTTTAGTGGGATTGATATTGTCCTCACGCCGTGAAACAACAGCCACACAGTTACATTTGTGAAGCTCCTTTCAAGTCAGGAGGACGTCCCGAGGCACTGGACAGTCGGGGATCAGGACCCGAGCATGGTGGGGTGGTGGGGGCGGTGGTGGGGGGGGCAGGGTTGGGGTGAGGGAGGGCTGAGGGGGTAGCAGGGCGGCTGAAGGCGTGGTCGAAAAGAAGGGTCTTGAGTCGTGGCTTGAAGGAGGCGAGAGAGGGAGCGAGGGCAAGGGGTTGTGGATGGAGTTCCAGAGGGTGGGGGCAAAGAGGCTGATGGTGGGGGGGGTCGGGCAGGTTACCTGGAGCAGGTCGGAGTCTGCTGAGTGGAGCGAGTGGACAGGTTGATAGGGGGTCAGCAGGTCAGAGATGTGGGAGGGGACGAGGCCATGGAGGACCTTGAAGGCGAGGATGAGGATTTTGAACTCTATCCTCTGGGAGACGGGGAGCCAGTGGAGCCGGGGCTGGCGAGGGTGGGGGGGCGATGGGGGTCAGGGAGTCTGGTGCGGGAGAGGACACGAGCTGTAGAGTTCTGGGCGATCTGCAGCCTGTGGAGGGAAGAGTTGAGGGGAGGCCGACAAGGACGGCGTTTCCATGAAAGGCGCTGTACAGATGTAATTTTTGAACTGTATTGTATGTAAGGTTCAGTTCGTGGACTTTCCTCGTAAACATCCACAAATAATTCTCAGTCTCGTTCCCTCAACATGAAGATCCTTTGAATCTTTGAAGGTGGTTACAGAAGTCATTCAGTTCAGCCTAAACCCGCCTTGGTCCTAAATTACAATAGGAATTAGAGCTGTTTATAATAGGTCGAAGAGGAGGGTCTTGAGATAGGTCTTGAAGGAGGCGAGGGAGGGGGTGAAGTGGAGGGACTGTGGGATGAAAGCCCAGAGGGATGGGGGCAGAGAGGCTGAAGGCCTAATGGTTGGGCGGGCGAGGCGGGGGACGCGAAGCAGGCCGGAGCCCGCTGAGCGGAGGGAGCGGGCAGATTGATAGGGGGTTAGGAGATCACAGAGGTAGGGAGGAGTGAGGTCATGGAGGGCTTTGAAGGTGAGGACCAAGATCTTGAACTTTATCCTCTTTGTGATGGGGAGTCAGTGGAGTCGGGCGAAGGTGGGGCTGATGGGGTCATGGAGCCTGGTGGGGGCGAGGATGGAGGTGATGGGGTAACGGAGTTTGGTGCAGGAGAAGACACTAGAGTTAGTTCTGGATAATCTGTAGCCTGTGGACGGGAGGCCGACAAGCAAAGATTTTGCATAGTCAAGTCTGGATGTTATGTATGAGGGTCTCAGTGTCTGAGGGGTGAGGCAGTGGCCTGAGGGGTGAGGCAGTGGCCTGAGGGGTGAGAGAGTGCCCTGAGGGGTGAGAGAGTGGCCTGAGGGGTGAGAGAGTGGCCTGAGGGGCGAGGCAGTGGCAGAGTCGGGCGACGTTGTGGAGGTGGGGGAAGGCAGAGCGGTTCATGGCTTGGATGTGGGATAGAAAAGACAGTTGAGGGTCAAACAAGACACCGAGGTTCCAGACCGGCTCAGCGAGGTGGAGTGTGCGTACGTGGATGGTGATACTGTCATTGAATTGACTGTGTATTTTGTGGGCAAAACGCGGCAGCCAATTGCGCACAGCAGCGTCCCCACAAACAGCCGTGGGTTGAAGTCACCAATTTATTATTTTTGACGCTCATTGATTGTCAAAACCTACACCCAGAGCCTCACAGACATTGCCCACCACCTCCTGCCCCCTAAACCCAAACCACATGCCCAGATGGTCTTATGGTCAGAACCCACTGACGTGTGGATAATTTGTGGGTAGTGAGGTGTATCACCTGTAGCTCAGAGGTCAGAGCCCTCGCCTCACAAGCGAGAGGACCCGGGTTCGATTCCCGGGCGGGTCAGGTCAGGGCGAGACGTTGGGCAAGTTTCCTTACTCCAAGACAGGCACATTTTGAAGTGAGGACATAGGAACAGGAGGCAATTTAGTGCAGAAAATTGCCAGTCGAAAAAAGGTTTCAACGTCTTAATTTGCTGTCTAAACATTGTAAGTACAGCCGGAATTGATAAATACCTCGGCAGAGGGCCAAGAAAATTTATCCTTGAATCAGGGTTTTATGGGTTATTTATTTAAAAGAAAACATTTTAAATGACCAATTTGTACCTCTGTTTGTTTAATCCCAGACGTTGAAACTAAATCTAAAAGTAAACAGGGAACTGTATAGCAGTTTTACAAATCGATTGTTGCTCCAAGTATCGAGGTGACTGACATGCGCTGACATGCAGGGGAAGAAAGTCTGAGACTTAGTCTAAAATAATAATAATCTTAATAATAATAATGCTAATCCTTGCATTTGGCACCGCACCTTATCACGTCTTCGAGACGTCTCAAAGCCCTTCACAGGATATACTGCGTCCCCACAAACAGCCGTGGATTGAAGTGACTGATTTTATTATTATCATTATGATTATTATTTTTTGTGGGGGAAGGAATTATTACTGTCTGTGCGGCACTGGCTGGCGTTCGCTCCGAGGTATTCTCTGAGCTTCGCAGCAGTCGTTCCGATGTAGAACGAGTTGACGTTTCTTCGGCAGAAGAAGAGTGAGAGAGTGAGTTCATTAGCTCGGGGATTAGAGCCTAACCACTGAGCTACAGGAACTCCACAAGGTCTACAGGACGTATGAGCATATAGGGAGAGGGAAGAGTTAAATGGCCGCACTATCTGAGCTAAAGTGAAGGCTTCAGCTCAGATAGATGACGAGTGGCTGGACTGTGGGGTGAAGTGTTCTGTGCGTGTGGTGGCTCTAACGGCTGCCCGGACAACGCAGGGCAGTGTGTCTCACTGTTCGTCCGCCCGCGCTGGTTGGCGAAGGGAAGGGTTCGGTGGGAAAGCCAGAAAATGTCGCGTTCATCTCAGCCACTTCGTCTAACGTTGAAGTGACTCAACGGTTCAGCCCTCCAGCCAACTCTCCTGAGGTCACTGTCTCTCTCTGCGAAGATCCTCACTATATTATGTGGCTCAGGGGTTGGAGCCTTCGCCTCGCAAGCGAGAGGACCCGGGTTCGATACCCGCGCGGGTCAGGTCAGGGCAAAACGTTGGGAAAGTTTCCTTACTCCCCCCCCCCCCACCACACACACACACACACACACACGCGCGCGCGCGCCTCTGATTACCGGCAGTCAGTAGGAACCCGGTTGTTAGTCGATTGTTGGATGGCTTTTCCGGGGCTAATAATCCCTTCAAAAAAAAATAATAATAATAATTTGGTCGCTCAATCCACGCCTGTTTGTGGTTACGTAATTGGCTGCTGCGTTTCGCCCACAAGAGATACAGTCACTACACTTTACAGTGTATCGTGTGAAGCGCTTTGAGACGTCTCGAAGACGTGATCAGGCGCTGCGTCAAATACAAGTGCTCTAACCACTGAGCTACAAGACTCCAAGTAACACAATCGCTGTTGAGTACATCCTCCCCTCTGTACTGACTGCACGGGAGCAACAGTGACCACTGTTGCCGTTGATTACATTCATCAGAGATGAAGCTAAACTCTCAGCTCTCATCAAAACCAAAAAACAAAAACAATAATAAATTGGTCATTTTCAATCCACGACTGTTTGTGGGACATTGCTGTGCGCAATTGGCTGCTGCGTTCGCCCACAAATATACAGTCAATTCACTTTACAGTGTGTTCTGTGAAGCGCTTTGGGACGTCCTCTCCCGACGTGAAAAGCGCTATATCAAATGCAAGGATTATTATTATTATTATTATTATCTATCTGTAAGAAAAACAGCTAATGTCGCTGGGAACACTCACTCAATAGGTCAGGCAGCATCTATGGAGAGAGGAAAATGAGTCAACATTCAGAGTGTGGACCATTCGTCAGAACATTTCAGTTCCCTGAAACGTTAACCCATTTTCCTCTCTCCATAGATGCTGCCTGACCTGCCGCGTGTTAGAATCGTAGAATTATACAGCACAGAAAGAGGCCATTCGGCCCATCGTGTCCGTGCCGGCTTTTTGAAAAGAGCTTCCAAATCAACCCCACTCCCCCGCTCTCTCCCCATAGCCCTGATCAACCCCACTCCCCCGCTCTCTCCCCATAGCCCTGATCAACCCCACTCCCCCGCTCTCTCCCCATAGCCCTGATCAACACCACTCCCCCGCTCTCTCCCCATAGCCCTGATCAACCCCACTCCCCCGCTCTCTCCCCATAGCCCTGCAAACTTGTCCTCCCCAAATAATTGTCTACTTCTCTCTTAAAAGAAGTTATCGAATCGGCTTCCACCGGCCTTTCAGACAACTCTTTGTGTGAACACAGATCTCCTCCCCTCCCCTCTATTTCTTTCAACAAGTATTTTAAATCAGTGCCCTCGGGTTACCGACCCTCCCGATCGCCAGTGGGAATAGTCCCTCCGTGTCCCTCCTGTCGAATCCCCTCATCATTTTGAAAACTTCTATGAAGTCTCCTCTTAACCTTCTCTGCTCCGAGGAGACTGATCCGAGCTGATGAAGCTAAATGCTCATCTATCTGAGCTGCCGGTGCTGAGTTAGCCACTTCATTGCAGTTACAGAAATGGCCTACAAACCTTCCGCCTCTCTGCCCCCACGCTCTGGAACTCCATCCCACAGTCCCTCCACCTCCCCCCCAGCCCTCGCCCCCTCCCTCGGCTCCTTCTAGACCCGTCTCAAGACCCTCCTCTTCGATCACCCTCCTACCCCCCGCCCTTCACCCTCCCTGATCCCGACCCCCAGCTCGTGTCCGAAACTCTTGTCTGTCCAGCGCCTTGGGACGTGCTCCCGACGTGAAAGACG